ACACAGATGCGGTATTAAGTGAAAATTTTATTGTCCTGGATTTGAATTGGGAAGTATCACTATGAATTCATGTGATACTTTCTATTCATCTTCCTGAAAAGACCTCGAAACAATGAATAAACCAGTAGCACTCCCTAGATTGTGATACCTAAAAGAAAACAGTGCATCTTGAAGAAATGAGTGATTCTAGGTCTGGAACAGGAAATGAGCTTTGTACATCTTATCAAATCCACTAGACCAAGGAGACAACTTGAAGAAGCTCCTAGTAGATAGTAATGGACAATTTCAACTTAATTAAGAATGATCATTGTAATGAACTGAAATTCATCAAATACACTTAAACCTGTAATGTCACAGTTCTGGTGTGGTGCAGTAGGATAAGCATTCAACCTCAAGGTCTGCATGAACCTTGAGATCAGTGGTTCCTCAGAAATCCCATACAGGATCACTACAAATTGGAACCAATTTTTTAGCACTTAACAACAGCATAATGTCATAATGATATTTTAAAATAATGCCCAATTGATCACCCTTGAAAATGGGTAGAGAGCTAATTCATTATCTTGAAACTGGTAAATATAGTGGGAAAATCAAGCATTTATCCTGACTTTTGATATGAACCATATCACTGGGTAACTAGATAGTGGGTGAGGGGAAGCTTCTCTTTATAAAAGTGTTCCAACTAATAGATGAAAAATAATTGAGAGAATTAAGATAACAACATTTTGCAACCTCCACTGTGTCAGTAGATCTAAGTAAGCCTTAAGCACTAACAGCTTCTAGACCCACAAAAGGAGACATCATCATATACTCACTTCCTATAAACTTGCCAAAGAAATAAAATCTGAGTCAGAGTCAGATCCAGCCTGTATATCCAGCTGCCAATTTTCAGGAAATACAGACAAAAGAGAATGTTGAACTGTGCTGTGGATATAAAATTACCAAGGTCCAGGTTATGGGAAACTCCACAGGCCAAATTCTCAGATTCTTCAACAGATAAATTGTAAGGATAAGGAAAAGTAAAGGATGGAGGAGTAGCTTACCCTATGGCGCCACACCAGGACTCCTATCAGGACCCTAAAATATAGAAGAGGGCAGATTATGGAAAATAGATTGATGGCAATACAATGGAAATGATGAAGAAGGTAGAATCATTCTCTGCCATTTTTATTTTCTACAAGAAATTGCTGTAAATAAAGCAAAACATGGAGGAAGAAGAGAGAACAAATTCCAGAAAGCAAAGAACCTATGACTGATAGGGATTTGCTGTAAGATACACTCTCCTCTTAAATCTTAACAACAGTGGGCAGAGATATGCAGATAACAGAGGAAATAAGTCTTGTGGAGGAGTAGTAGAAATATCTAGTTTGTTCTCCTTCTCTCCTCTCCCCGTGTTACTGTCTTACAAATAACTGGATCCATTCAAACAAATGGAGTCCTGGTGTAGCACTGTATGATAAGCACTGAGCCGCAAGGTCGGTTTAAACCACAAGGTTGGTGGTTCAAATCAGCCGCTTCTCAGAAACCCTATACAGGGTTGCTGTGAGTTAGAATTGATCCGACAGCACTTAACAACAACACCATTCTAAGTAACGTTAGGTAATAATTGGAAATTAATCAGGACTTAAAATGTAGAAGTTGCAAAGTAAAAAGAATAAAATTATTATTAGGAAAAGGGAGATGAGCATACATTACTGAAGGAATTACTTCAGAAAATGGACTGAGATTTTAAACAGTTACTTGGTATAGTCTCAAAGAAACAACAGACAGCATGAACTCTCGTAAAGACTTAAAGAAAAGACATAGCAGAGGATAAAATGTGGCTGGATGATCAAGAAAGGAATGGAAGGGGAAAGTTAACATTACAGGTATCAAAAACATATTAAAAGTGACAAAACTTAGAAAAAAAATATTGAAAACCCTGTCATGGCTCCCCTAAGACTATGGCCCTTAGTCATCCTTCAGTTCTGGAAATGAACTCATTTCCACGGCTCAATTTTCAGCCAAACAAAAGGTCAATAAGGGAAACACCAGCACTAGTGAGGTATGCACACCTTAGAATAATCTATCCTTTGAGAGCCAAAAAGCAGCATTTATCCAAAGACAAAGTTCGGAAGGATTAGGAAAGAAGGAGAAATGCAAACAGGAAGTACAGGGAGGAAGCAAAATAAGTGATATTTCAATGTGAGGATTGCAATCAGTGACATGAAGCAAAATGTGTATGAATTATTAAATGTAAAATTGATGTGCTCTGTAAGCTTCAGTCAATTCACAATAAAAAGTTAAAAAGTAATAAAAATTTAAATGAGAAGTACAAAGACTATGCAGAAAATGCTTCTGATATGCTAAATAGAATCACATTACCAAAAAAACCCTTCAGTTATAGAAGATTAGAGGAGAAAGCACACAAAACAAAATGGAAAAGAAAGAGGAGATGTGAAAATTATACAGAGATGTTAATAGAGAAATGCAGAGGATTATTACAAGCTTCAGATTTATCATGAATCTAATGAAGTATAAGCTTCAGGGCTTCTCAGTAGCATGGACTCCCTCCAAGGCTCTGGGAGGGGCCCAGCAGTGTGTTCACATGGTCATTATTTTGGTAATGTTTGCAAACATTTACACTCAAGCTGCTATTATGTCAATGTCAGGATTTAACAAAAACAAAAATTGCAGACAAAAGAGAAAATGGTAAGAGGAAGTATGAATGTGCTAGTTTTCTCAGGGCAGGGATTAAAAGTGAAATATGTATTTTAAAAACATGACTCCAAACCAAAAAGGAAACAAAAAACAAAAAACCCTACAGACAACCGATATAAATAAAAGACTTGAATAAGCACTTCACACTAAAGTAAGACAAATCACCAGTCAGCACATGAGAAAGTGCTCAGTTTCATTAGTCACTGAAATGCAAGTGGAAACCACACTTCCTACCCATCAGAATGGTTTAAAAAGACAAATACGAAATATGATGTGGATATATAACATGGAGAACCCTCTAATAGCTCTGGCAGGGTTGTAAATTGGTACAGCACTTTGGAAAATTGGAAGTATCTTCTGATCCTAAACATATGCACACCTTGTTGTGTTGTTAAGTCCTGTCAACTTGGTTCCAACTCATAGTCACCCTGTATAGGATTTCCAAGAAGTGGCTGGTGGATTTGAACCACTGACCTTGTGGTTAGTAGTTCAGTGCTTACCCTATAGTGCCACAATCAGAACTCCATGCATAACTTATTACCCAGAAAAAATTCTGCTCCTAGTTTAGATCCAATAGAAATACATACGGCGGCGTGCTGATGTGGCTCTGTGAGCTAATGTGTCAGACTGCAGTGTCCTTTGAACTGCAATGTAGGTGGTTCATGCTCACCAACTGCTCCTTGAAAACCCTATACAGGGTCACTATGGGTCTGAGTCAATTCAACAGCGCATAACAACAACAACAACAACAAAGACACAGGAATGTTCACAGCAGCACTATTCATACTAGTCCAAAATTAGTAACAGAAATGCCCAACTACAGTAGAATGAATTAATAAATATTCTCAAAAAGCTTATCATGCAGTGACAACTGATGGTATACTCTTACGCAGTAATATGATGAATCTCACAAGCATAAAGGAGTTCTGGTAGCGTAGTGGTTACGAATCGGGCTGCGAACCTTAAGGTCAGCGGTTCGAAACTACCAGCTGCTCCGCGGGAGAAAGATGCGGCTTTCTACTCCCGTAAGGATTTACACCCTCGGAAACCCTGTACAGGGTCGCTATGGGTTGGAACCGACTCGAAGGCACTTAACAACAACAACTCACAAGCATAACATTGGTGAAAGAAGCTAGACACAAAGGAATAGCTAGTGTAGGATTTCTGACGAGACTATGCTGTTAGTGCTCAGGCTGGTGGTTAACCTGATCTGGGGGAAACGAATGAAAGAGGAGTGGGGATTCTGAAGTGCTGGACATGATCTAGGTGCTGGTTACCTCGTGCAGTCACTTTGTGAAGTCATTGAGCTGTACACTTACATGTGGAGTGTATTTCAATAAAAGATTTGAAAAATTACCATGTAAATGCAATCTCAAAGTTTGCCAAAATATTTTTTTCTTAACTTCAAAGGAGCCTATTAAGAACTTATGGTGAAAAGTCATTTATTGAAATTAAATGATTTCTTAAATATGTTTTTTTGTTACATTCAAGTATGTTTTCATTCAATACTTTTAATTTTAAATACCACATATAAAATGATCCTATTTTTTAAAATCAAATTATTTTTCTCTCTCTTTTTTTTTAACCTTCAGTTGTCCTCCATTTGTATATAGGAAGATACTCACCAAATGCCAACTATATTTACATGCAAGTGGTGGGATTTGGGGTGTTTTTTAAATTGAAACATACACACTTATATAGAGAGGGAGTCCTGGTGTACCACTGTAGGAGACAGCACTGAACCACAAGGTCTGTTTGAACCCAGAAGTCGGTAGTTCCAACCAACCAGCTGCTCCTCAGAAACCTAATACAGAATTGCTATGAACTGAATGGAAGGCACTTAAAAAAAAGCAATAGCATAGAGAGAACTTTTATGATAAGTAGGTATATCAATTCAGATAAACATTAAAATGACTTTGTAAATAATGAAAGGCCAGTCTTATGTCTTATGCCTACATTCAGCCATTGTCACCAGAAAGGAAGACTTAACAGGAATATATTCTTTCCAAAATCTGATTATAGTTACTCAGTACAGTTCAACTGGTCTGCAGGCCACCTCTGCCTCTTATCTCAGTGGGGTATGTTCATTTTGGCAGTTTGTGGGCAGCTTTCTTTAACATTGAGTGCCACCCTATAAAATGATCCTATTAGAAACTTTATAAGGTTTTATGTTTGATTTTTAATTCTATAATGTGATAATAAAGAAACAATTCAGTTGGCAATAGTATTTAAATTTGTTTCAATAAAAAGCAGGACGGTATCTTAAGGTTGTTGTATAAATCCTTTTTATTGCTTTTTAGAGCCTCATATTCCTCGTTCGAGACTGGAGTTTCCCATATGAATTTTCATATGGAGCTGATGGTGGTGCCAAATTCTTGGAAAAACGACTCAAGGTTTGTTAGATATGTAGGTGCATGAAATTTCACTGGTAAAATATGTATTATTTTTGTTGACTGAATTCATGGATAGTTAGATACCCAGGAGCCACAATCTCAGTTTACCTTTATAATACCTTTGTGAATAAACTAAAGATTTCTATTTAATAAAATATTAAGTACAATTCAAAATATTATTAATAACTTTGATGCAAATAGATTAATTGGAAGCTAATTTCTAAAGATAAAACTTTTAATTTGAAAAATTAAATCCATTCAAGACTGTCAGTGTAAATATCTAGATTCAAAAAGGTATATTTAACAGGAATACCTAATTTTGAAATCCGCAGAGTCAACTTTGGATAGTTTGCTAATAGTTTACAGGAAGTAGATTTAGAAGGTCTTTCACTTTTTACATCATGATAGTTCAAAATGAATTGTCCACATTAAGCATCTATCACAAACATATCCACAGAGAAATCAGAAAACACAAGGTTAAAATTATAAGAAGTTCATTGATAATTGTGGATTTCTGAGTTTACCTTTTTATGTTTAGTTACTTTTAGACAGTTTTAGATACTAAAAGCTGTCAAATACATGTTAAAACAATTTAGCTTATAAGTAAACATCCAGCTATTCCAATGCCTTCTGAGAATATATATAGATGTATACTGCCTTAAGTATTTCCTAAGAAGTAGGTAGGAGCATTTTGTACTCTATTTGGGTCTCCTGTGAGTACTTTGAATTAAAGAAAGTATGAATTCATGTTCACTAGCTAGAGTAAAACTTCCCAAATTTGCACTAAAAAATGGGAAGGCCTATCTGAGTTAGTGTAGAATAGACACTTGTTGGTTGGTTATATGCCGTGAAGTCGGTTCTGACTCATAGTGGCATTGGGTAGGGCTTCCGATGCTGTAACCTTTATGGAAGCAGAAAGCCTCATCTTTCTCCTGCGGAACCACTGATAGTTTGGAACTGCTGACCTTGAGATTAGCGTCCTGACTCATAACCACTACACTGCCAGAACTCCTGGACACTTGTGAGTTGTAATTAATTACGCTACATGCACTTTCCGTAGAAATGGTTGTGTGGGCACATTTACCCAGGACTTCATTCTTTTTTCAGTAGCAGTCCTGTTACATCATTTTTATCATTGTGGGGCCAGATAGACAGCAAATATAAGATGCCACAGAATTCTTTTGAAGTTCAGTTTACATTGAAAGTAGTTCAAACTTCAGAATGATTTACTGCAGGTCTCAGGGAATCAGCATGAAGAACTCCAGAATGTTCGAAAACACATCCATTCCTGTTTCACCAAAATTTCCTGTTTTCTGCTACCTCATCCTGGCTTGAAAGTAGCTACCAATCCAAACTTTGATGGAAAACTGAAAGGTTTGTCTTTTAATAAATATGTTTTTATCAGTATCATCGTTAAAGTTATCTGCTAGACTTTTGACTGCTCATTTAACATATCCACTGATATGAGGCTGATGATTACAAATTATCAGGAGCATTTCTGGAATGCCTCCTCAATGAACTGTGGGCTTCTCTGGGTACACTGACTGTGAAAATAGGCTAGGAGGCAGTAGCCCTGACTCTCATCGCTGTGCACTGAGAGATGCTCTTTAATGTCTCTATGCTTAATATTCTTTGTTTGCATTAAAAAGGAAAAAGACTTATCTACCTTATTGTAATATTGTGTTAAGTTATGTAATTAGAAATATTAAAAACATAGCATAGTATAGTACTGAATTCAAGTTCTTTATAACTGCTATTAAAGAATTTAATTATAAATTATTAGAAACCTCACTAAAAATGAAATCCTGTTCTGAATGAAGAGCAGTTTCTTTTTAAAAAAACAAAAAGCCCAAAACAACCAAAAAGCACTAGAGTGTGTTTTGAATTGTGTGTACTAATAATATATAATTATCTCTTTCACAGAAGCCTGGCTAATGTTGTATAAATCCAGAGCAACTCAACTTGTATGAAAAAATGAGAGATTGGGAAAACTGAAATTAATCTTTCTTAGTAGATAATCACGAGATCTTTAGATATATTCTTTGAAGTTAAAAAAAAAAAAAGTATACTGGCAGGGAATTTTGATTTTTTTTTACTGGTGAACCTAGAAGTAAAAACATTAATGACTTCAAACATTTGCTTAATTTATGGTGGCCTTTTGGCATGGTTTCATAGGAACACAGAGACATAACAAGATTTTCTGCAGTTTTCTAATAGGGATTTAAGATTAATAAAACACAACTGTATGTAACTTGTAGCCAATTTTATAGAAATCATCAGCTTTAAAAAAGTAAAAATATTCTTTTCCCCCTGCAGCCAGGCATTTTCTCTGTTATCTTTGGTTTAATTTTGACAATTAGTATCATAAATGTTGTTGTTGTTAGGTGTCATCAAGTCATTTCTGTCTCATAGAGACCATACTGCACACTGGAACAAAGCACTAGCTGATTCTGTGCCATCTTCACAATTGTTGTTACGCTTCAGCCCCTTGCTGCTGCCATCTCATTGGGGGCCTTCCTCTTTCTCTCTGACCCTCTACTTTACCAAGCATGATGTTGTTCTCCAGGGACTGGTCCCTCCACATTATATGTCCAAACTATGAGAGATGAAGTCCTGCCGTCCTAGCTTCTAAAGAGCATTCTGGCTGTAGTTCTAACAAAGACTTGTTGGTTCTTTGGTAGTCTATAGCACGTTTAATATTCTCCTGCAGCAACATAACTCAAATGCAGCATTCCTTCTATGGTCTTCATTATTTATTCTCCAACTTTCACATGCATATGAGGCTATTGAAAATGCCATGACTTGGGTCAGGCACACTTAAGTCCTCAAACATGTTTGCTCTTGACATACTTGCTCTTTAACACTGAAAAGAAGTCTTATGCAGCAAATTTGCCTAATGCAATATGTCATTTTATTTCTTGGCTGCTACTTCGATGAGTGTTGACATGTGTATCCAAGGACCAAAATGACGTTTTTGACAACTTCAGTCTTTCCTCCATTTACTGTGATGTTATTTATTGGTCCATTTGTCAGGTTTTTGCTTTTTTTTATATTGCGGTGCAGTCCATACTAAAGACTTAAAATCTTTGATCTTCATCAATAAGTATTTTGAGTCCTCTTCATTTTCAGCAAACAAGGTTGTATCGTCTGCATATCACAGGTTGTTAATGAGTGTTCAATTCTAATGCCACATTCTTCTTCATATAATCCAGTTTCTCAGATTATTTGCTCAGCATACAGATTGATTAAATATGGTGAAAGAATACAACCCTGGCTGACACCTTTCATGATTTTAAACCATACAGTGTCCCCTTCTGTTCGAACAACTGCCTCTTGATCCATGAGCCTCTTGATCCTCATGAGCACAACTAAATGTTGTGGAATACCCAATCTTTATAGTGTTAGCCAAAGCTTGTCATGATCCACACAGTAGAAGTCTTTGCATAGTTAATAAAGCACAGGTAAAATTTTTTCTGATATTCTCTGCTTTCAGCCAAGTTCCATGTGACGTCAGCAATGATACCCTTTGTACTCCTAGAACCTTTGATAGTTCCTTTTCAATGTACTGTTGCAACTGTTTTTGAATCATCTTTAGCAAAATTTTCTTTACAAATGATATTGTTAGATGATTTCTGCATTCTGTTGGGTCACCTCTCTTGGAATGGGCACAAATATGGATCTCTTCCAGTCAGTTGGGCAGGAGCTGTTTTCCAGATTTCTTGGCATAGATTAGTGAAGGCTTATAGTGCTGAATCAGTATCCTGAAAGATTTCAGTTTGTATTCCTTCAATTCCTGGAGCCTTGTTCTTTGCCAATACCTTAATGCACCTTGAACTTCTTCCTTCAGTACCATGGCTCTTAATCATATGCTACCTTTTGAAATGGTTGAACACTGACCGTTTCTTTTTGATACAGTAACTCTGTATATTCCTTCCATCTTCTTTTAATACTTTCTGCATCATTCAATATTTTGTCCATTGGTTGGTTGGTTATGTGCTGTGGAGTCTGTTCTGACTCATAGCGACCCTGTACAGGTTTTCCGAGGCTGTAAATCTTTACGAGAGCAGAAAGCCTCATCTTTCTTCCGCGGAACAGCTGATAGTTTTGAACGCAGACCTTGAGGTTCGCAGCCTGATTCATAACCACTAAGCTACCAGAGTTTCTATTAGAATCCTTCAATATTGCAAGTTGAGACTTGAAAATTTTCTTCAGTTCTTTCTGCTTGAGAAATGCTGGGTGTGTTCTTCTGTTTTAGATTTCTAACTCCAGGTATTTATACATTTCATTATAATACTTGATTTTGTTCTTGAGCTGCCCTTTGAATATTTCTGTTCAGCTCTTGCCTCCTTATTTCTTTCATTTGGTTTAGTGTCTCTACATTGGAGAGGAGGTTTCAAAGTCTCTTCTGACATCCACTTTGTTCTTTTCCTTCTTTCTTGTCTTCTTAATGACCTTTTGATATCTTCCTGTATGAAAATCTTGATGTCACCCCACAGCTCTTCTGGTGTTTGGTACTTAGTGTCTAATGCATCAGGTCTGCTCTTGAGATGACCTCTAAATTTATTTGGGATGTGTTCAAGGTCATATTTTGGCTCTCATTGACTTGTTTTCAATTTATTCAGCCTAAGCCTGACCTTACATGGGAGCAGTTAATGGTCTGTTTCAGTCTTCTCCTGGCCTGTTTTGACAGATGATACAGAGTTTTCCCACCATCTCTTCCCACAAATGGAATCAATTTGATTTCTATGTATTCCTTTTGGTGACATCCATGTGTATAGTCATCTTTTATGTTTACGTGTGGCACTGTAGTTGCAATGAAAAAATCATTGATTTTGCAAAATTCTATCATGGGATCTTGAGTATCATTTCTATTACCAAGGCCATATTTTTCAACTACTGATCCTTCCTGTTTATTTTCAACATTTGCATTCCAATCACCAGTAATTATCAATACATCTTCATTGCAATGTTTGATCAATTTCAGACTGAAGAAGCTGGTATAATTCTTCAATTTCATCACTGGCTTTAGTGGTTGATGCATAAATTTGAATAACAGTAGCATTAACTATGACTTGTAGGCATATGGATATTATCCTGTCACAGACAGCTTTATTATCAAGATAGATCTTGAAATGTTATTTTTGATGATAGATGTGGCACCATTCTTCTTCAATTTATCATTTTCACCATAGTAAACTATGTGATTATTAGATTCAAAATGGCCCATACCTGTCCATTTCTGTTCAGTTATGCCTAGGATATTGATCTTCATGAATTCTATTTTAGTTTTGAAAACTTCCAATTTTCCTAGATTCATATTTCACACATTCCATGTTCCAATTATTAATGGATGTTTACAGCTGTTTCTCCTCATTTTGAGTTGTGCCCCATCAGCAAATGAAGGTCCCAAAATCTTTGATCCATTCACATCATTGTGGTCAACTCTATTTTGAAGAGCGGCTCTTCCCCAGTCATCTTGTGAGTGCCTTCCAAACATTAGGGGCTGCTATTCAGAAGGTTTTCATTAGCTAAACACTCAGAAGTAGTCTGTTTCTCCTCCTTCCTACTCTATCTTTAAAATTCCAATGGCATAGATTCCAGCATCAAAACACATAAGCCACCACAGTCCAACAAATGACAGTTGTGTGGTGGAGTATCATAGAGTCCCAAATTTCTCATTCATTAGCATTGTTCTTATAAGTGCTTTAAATTATCTTACCTTTTATACAGCAGAATAGATAGCAGTGTTGTAGTTGTTGTTAAGTGCTGTCGAGTCGGTTCCGACTCATAGTGACCCTGTATAGGGGGGTTTCCAAGGCTGTAAATCTTTACGGGAGCAGAAAACCTCATCTTTCTCCCATGGAACAGCTGGTAGTTTCAAACTGCTGACCTTGAGATTAGCAGCCCGATTCATAACCACTACGCTAAAGTACGTATTAATGCATGGATGCCAGGATCCTACAATTTCATTGTCACTCATTATTTCAGATCCATTAGTGAACACCTGTGGTGTCCTGGTGTGGCACTGTAGGATAAGCCCTGGACAGCAAGGTTGGTTTGAATTGCGAGGTCATCAATTCAAACTCACCAGTCGTTCCTTGGAAACCCTGTACCGGGTTACTATGAGTCAGAATGGACTTGACGGCACTTAACAACTTAATAAAGTGAACACTTATGGCACTGTAAGATAAACACTGGACTGGTAACCATGATGTTAGCAGTTCAAACCTATCAGCCACTCTTGGAAACCCTACACAAAGCTGCTATGAGTCAAAACTAACTCGATGACACACAACACAACAGTAGACACATGGAATCCCTTGGTGGTATAAATGGTAACACACTTTCAGCTAACCAAAAGGTTGAAGGTTTGA